TGCCAAACATAAACCCTAACATGGCTCGATTTGGGGTTTACCTCAGTCGTCCTTCGTACTGCTTCAACAGACAGATGAGAGAGGCGAGACTGAAGAGATAGAGAGGATGCATAGTCGACATGAGAGAGATGAGTCCAGATACAGAGAGACGAGAGGAATGAGGCCTGGGTCAAGAAAAGGAAGAAGAAGAAAAAAAAAAAAAAAAAAAAAAACGAAACCCAGAACGACGTCGTTTTCGATTTCGAGCAAATTCGAGTCAACGGCTTTCGAGCCCTCAAACATTTTCCTTTTCCAAAACAAACCAAACAAAGAACATAACAGAATAGACAAATGCCAAAAAGTATTTCTAAGCCTTTATTTGAGATGTGGGTTAGTTTTTTGACTTTTTGACTATTTTAGTCTGAGGTTAAAAAGCCTCATTTGAATAAATTTTTTTGACTTTTTTAACTTTTGTAAAAAAAAAAATAAAATGATTATGGTTTGGATGTGACATTTTGTCTTATTAGGCTAAAAGGCCTATTTTATCTTTTTGTGGCTAAAATAATCCTGACTCAATCCAAATCTTATTCCCAAACAAACTCTAAGGCATTGTTTAATATAAGGATTGAGATTTTTTTTTTTTAAAAAAAAAAGGTAAAATTGTTAAAAACATATTGCTTTCAAAAAAAAAATATTAAATTTAATGAACAGTGTTCCGTACTTTTAAATTTTTTTCTTTTCTTATGCCTCATAAACACTTGTTATGTTGGTAACACAAAAATAAGGGATCTCAAGAGTTTCACCAACTTATTTCTCTTCTTCACCGTTGAAAGCAAATAGAATGGTAAAATGAATTGAATTATTCAAGCTGGACTCATATTCGATTGATTAGAAATTGATTCATTATCTAAATAAATTTGACCATATTTTTAAGGGTAAATTAAATTAACGGTCCCTACAATTTGGTCTCTATGTCACTTTAGTTTCTAGCTTTTTAATTATAACACATTTGACTCTAAATTTTAAATTTTGTTCTAAATAAGGACAATTAAAAATACCATTGCTCAATTTCAATAGCAAAGTCATCAATTTGATAAAATATAAACTAATTAAACAAAAATAAATGTCAAAAAATATAAAAATTTTAAAAATTATTTCTACCTACTAAAGATAAAATTATGTAAAATTGATAAATTTTTTAGACGTTTATTTTTATTTTTTTTACCAAATTAATTTTTATTATGCTTTTGGAAAATGATCATGTAATGTGTGGTTGTTTTTATTTTCATTAAATTAGTTTTTATTTTTTCAAAAGTCAAATATGGCGAAAATTTTGATATCATTATTAAACTAATTCATTAAATTAAAAAATCTAAAACCAAAAAATTTCGTGTATTAAATATATTGATTACACATTAAAAACGTAACAACCACCTATTACATGATTATAATCCAAACACATAATAAAAATTAATTTGATAAAAAAATAAATAAATATCTAAAAAATTTATCAATTTTACATAATTTTATCTTTAGTCGGTAGAAATTATTTTTTAAAATTCAAAAACATTATTTTGACATTTATTTTTATCAAATTAGTTTATATTTTATCAAAGTAGCAACTTTGCCCTTAAAATTGAGCAATGGCATCTTCAATTGTCCTTATTTAGAACAAGTTTCAAAATTCAAGATCAAATGTATCACAATTGAAAAGTCAAAAACCAAAGTAATACGAGTTTCAAACTATAAAAGCAGTTAATGTAATTGTTAAATTTTCAAACAAAACATAAACAACATATTACTCGGTTCATTAAAAATTCATTTAAGAGTGGCTTACTATAGAAATAAATCAAACTAAAATATATTTTAAAATTCACAAATTTTGAAACCAAGCTTAAATAAATTATTTCTCCATTAGTATAGAAAATAACACAATATTAAAAGCTATCTTAATTAAAGATTTTTTATATTTTAATGAGACCAAAATAATTGCACCATTCTCCTCCTTTATTTTTGACTGAATTTTTTTAATATGCTTTTTCTAAAAAATAAATAAAATTTAGTTTGGTGAAAAATAAAGTTTTTAAAAATCACACTTATTTTCATATGAATTTTTTTTTTGTAACATAAAATAATATTTTAAAATTAAAATATATATTTATATTTAGTTTTGTCAAAAACAAAATTATAATTTTTGAAAAATAAATTTTAAATACAAATTCTAAAAATTCAATCAAATAAAAATATTTTGCAACTAAAGTTTTTGCAACAATACATTCTTACATGTTGTAGACACCCTATTTTTGACCGTCCTCAAGACTTGGACGTCACCTTTTGAAAAAAAAAAAAAATGTCTTACAAAACAAAGGGTAGTTATTTTCATATGAATAAAAAATTAACTCTTCAAAAATATTGTAATTAATTTTTATTGTACCCTTACATTTTCGGTGTAAGTGTAAAAAATTAAAATTTATTTATTACATTCTTAATTAGGTGCTCTTGAATCACATGTTAACAAGGTCCATTAAAGAAACAAACTAGGTAACCTCAGCTCATAATTAACTCAATTAAACAAGTTGAATAATAAGTTGTTTATCTTTTGGTCTCCGACTAAGGACAATATTAAGAGTTGTTAATAAAAAGAAAAATTCTATGGACCATGCCTTTTTTTAGAATGTATACCATGTGTCCCATTAATGATTTTTTTTTATAGTATTTTGGCTTCGTTTGGAAAGTTAGTTTAGAGACTTTTTTAGTTACAATAGTCACAAAAAATAAAATAAATTTTTTAATCTAATAAAACAAAACATCATATCTAATCCATAATCATTATATTCTTTCTCTCACAAAAAAATTAAAAAAGTCAAAAAGACCAAAAACTCTTCCCAAACCACACTTTTTAATCCCAGACTAAAATAGTCAAAAAAGTCAAAAATCTAAAAAGTCAATCCACTTTCCAAACGGAGCTTTTATTATGATCTATCGTAATATTAATTATGATATTTAATTATGACTTAATATACTCCCTCCGTCCCAAAATATTAGTCCCTTATTCCATTTTTCATTGTCCCAAAATATTAGTCCCTCTTTATAAATCAAGTACAAAAATAATGTAAATTTCCTATTTTGCCCTTCTTTTAAATTAATAAACAATTTAAAAAGTACACTTATGACATTGATATTCCCAAAAAATGTACTATCAAAAGGGTAATTTTGGAAAACCAACTTTTTTCAAATGTAATAAGTGTACTACCAAAAAAAGTTGGATTCCCCAAAAAGGACCAATATTTTGGGACGGAGGGAGTATCTTTTTTAGTTATGCTTGAAGAGGAATTAGTTATGACATTTGTGGTAAGTAATACTACAAATGTCATAATTTATGTATAATACATTCTTTTCATTACCCTAATGAAAAATACAAAACATCAAAAAAATTATAATTTCAAAATAGATTTTTCAAATAGCCTCGATTTGGGAAAAGGTTTTTAGGGTTTTTTTTTTTTTTTGCTAAAATAGTCACAAAAAATAAAATAGACTTTTTAGCTTAATAAGACAAAATATCACATTCAACCCGTAATCATTACATTCTTTCTCTCACAAAAAAATTAAAAAAATCAAAAACTCTTCCCAAACTAGACTTTTTAGATCCAAGTTAAAATAACTAAAAAATTTAAAAAATCAAAAAATTAAAAAGCCAATCCACTCCCCAATCCACACAACATATATTTTTATATTTTAATTCACTTTTTATTAATATGTTCCTATAAATATATATACAATAAAGTATAGATAAGTATCGCAAAAATAACGGAATAGAATTGGGCTAGGAGAGTAGGGATATACATAGGCCTAGCCAATAGGGTCGGGCGGGTTCACTGCCCAAGACCCAGACTGTTTTTCACTTTCTTGGCTTTGTTTGTTTGTAAAGAAAGTAGGGTTCAGGAAATTCGGCAGCTGTCTTGTCCCTTGTTGAATTGGACCCCCGACACAACACAACATTAGCCCCTATCTAATTATAGCTACCACCCCCCCACCCAACACACTTCCATTATTTCTGCCATATATTGGGAAATATTAATAAAACTATTAAAAATAAAATTAATAATCTCATCAGTCTTTTTTATTTTCTCGTCTTTCAAAAAGCCAAAACCATGTCTATTCACCCAAAAAAAGAAAAAAGAGTAACAGAGTTCTAAGCATTGAATAATTCTACATTACATCCCTGTTAAGTCATAAGAACTTGGGGAAATTACCCGTGTAATATTGATAAATGTTACTATCGTCCTCAAAAAAAAATACTATTAATTTGTAATTATTTTTCAAGTGTTCTCCTAATCTGAAATTCTCCCTAAAAACTTTATTTATATTCTAATAAACAAACCCATGTTTAAGCATAAATTTAAATAAAAAGCTTCATTAACAACAAAGTTATAAATCTGAGAAGTACGAAACAATTCTGAAATTTTTGAATACACATATGAGTATATCTCTTAATTTGGGTAGAAATTCGATTAAAACTCAATTTGGTACACGTTTAGGTCAAGGTGCGAAAGGTTTTGAGTAATTTTTATTCAAACTTAAATTTAATATAAGTTTGAGTCAAGAATTATGCTGTTCTCGAGCACAGGTTTTTGCTATTAAAAAAATCAAGTGGTGTTTCCTAAAACGCACCAATAAGCTAAGACCCATGCTGTGAGTTATTTCATGTCATTAATTAATTCGAACACTCAAGAAATTTGTTGGACAGGCAGATTCACATCTCTTACAACCCACACAATCCTCCGGGTCTTTATAGCAAAAGCAATTTGCTTAGCTTTACACACGTCCCAAGGTATCATTTCTAAGACATCAGTAGGACAACATTGACCACACCCATGTAACATAAATTTTAACTTTGGTTCATCTACAGAATGGTATGGTAACATTTCTCAGAAACCTCTCTACATTCTGTTTTCGAGGTAAATCATTCCCAAACAAATAAGAAAAATGTGGCAACAAGAAATGCTTCAATTAAACTCATGGAATGAAGAAAATATCAAACAGATACAATCTCTCTTTAAATCGTCAAACTTGATAAAATGATTCTTATTCATGGCAACACGCAAAATTCAGACAGAATATTTAGACTGATACAAGTCCACTAGAAATATGACCAGAAATACAAACTTAAATTTCAATGACAAAGGGAAAACACATTCTAAACAATTCAAAGGTTAACTAACTCAATGAAGAAGTAAAGCCAAATTGCAGAAGAAGGCGAGACCTGACCAAACTCACCATTTTTCGGCGGGCTCAATCCACTAGGCACGCGTTTTGCTGCTTTCAGCATTTCTTACTGGGTAAAAGTAAGGATGAGCCTGCATGAATCATGAACCATCACACAACATTATGAACACTTAAATATTAATTCAGACTCCAATCAACAAGCACCATCAGCATTGGAGTGTCACTTTTGCCATCCAAAGTAAAAAGACATTTTTAGAACTCTATTTTTGTACAGAATCCTAGAATGATTTTTTCAGAGTTGGATATGTTAATAGTGTGGGAATATATATCAAGGATTTCTTACCATTGCTTCTTTCGCAGTTGGCCTTTCATGGTGATCATATCGCAGCAGCTTGTCGAGGAAGTCAATTGCCTACATAAGAGCTTGTATATATATGTTATTATTTGAATAAACAACCAAGAGAACCTGGATTTTGATTAGAAATGACAGAAGATTGCACCTCTGGAACAGCCAGACGTTGATTTTCAGCATTAATGAATTTAGTCCATGGTTTCCTGCTATGCCTATGCAAATGGATTAAACAAAGATTCTTGTTAAGTTGAAACCTAGTTAAACAAAATATTAGATGAACTTCTAAGTATGAGATCACAACACCAACCTCCCTACAAGGGCAGCAAGATGTGGATCTAACTCTAAGCGGTACTTGTTGAGATAAGCATTTAATTCATCTGTCCCAAGTACCTATGAATGCAAAATGAGAAGAGGCAAGAAGTTACAGTTCCACTTCCTCAGTCAAATTGGAAGACTCCCAATAAAACGATCAAGACACCATGCAGACAGGCACATGCACACTCACAAATGTAAACAATATATATTTGTATATGTAAATACATTTGCATACAAAGCTATATGTCTAGCAGAGTGAGAGTTTGTATAAATAAATATCAAATGAGCTGTGATGAGCAACGTTAGACCACATCACCCTAAACATAACACAAGATTCTGGCACCTCACCAAGGCTGAAAAAACAAAAGAGAATCACAGGAGTATCCATAGATAAACATTGTTAGATACATGCAGCTATGCATGAATACTACAACTTAAAGACGTGCATCCATCTGTAAAAACCCATTGGTTAAAATAACTACGAATAAAAATACTGGGGCACATTATACCCGTGGTGCTTGTAATTTATCTCTAGTGTCAATTTGGTACTTGTAATTTCAATTGTATTAATTTTGCCTCTTAAATTTTCACGTTGTGCCAATTTAGTCCAATTGATAAAATCCATTAAGAAATTAAACAAAAATTAGCGCAAAATGGCCCATTCAAAAAATAACTGACCATTTCAAATTTGATGTCAACTCAATAAAGTGAATGGACTATTTTGCCCCATGATTTTAGTCTAAATTCTAAAGGAGCATTATTAATTGGACTAAATTGTTAAAATGTAAAAATTTTAACATCAAATTGACACGAGACAAACTACAGGGACTACAGGTGTAATTTGTGCAAAATAGTATAATACTGTATAGTGGTATAGAAAACTTTCATCAAACTGCTTCCACATACCTTAGCAATTTTGACCAGTTGATCATAATTATCATGCCCGTAGAAAAATGGTTCCTTGCGGAATATCTGTACAGCACAAGCCTTTACTATAAGCATAACATATTGAACAGACACCTTCACATAGTATGGCATGGTGTCAAATTTGAACCTCCCCACCATCTGCCACCCATGGATGATAATCAAGCAGATCAAATTCCATTCGTCTATGCCATCACCAAGAATTTGAATATTTTATTCAACTCAAATCTAATGGTTGTGGAATTTCTGATCATAGTATTTTCGGGTCGAGGCTGATGAGGAGGAGGCTCATCAAATGATATTTCCAGGCCACTTGCATACATAGCACAACTAAAAGTGGACAGGTGGAATGTTTGGAAAGATACTAGTATGAACACAAACTCCAAAAATAAAAACCTCTTCAAGAATAAAGATGCTGCCTACGAACCAAAGTAAATAGCAGAGTAGAAGATGCTCACCATTCCAGCAAACATACAACCTAGGCTCCACAAGTCTAAAGAATAGTCGTAGTCTTGCAAATCAACAAGAAGCTCAGGACCTTTAAAGTATCTGCAAGGGAACAAATATAAAGTAAAGAGATAGGAGAGCTGTATAAGTTCATGTGGAGATAGAAATATGCACAAAAAAAGTCGCAGGTCAGTAATTTTATAAGTTTCATTTATAAAAACGTAGTGCTGCAAACAAATCTAACAAGAAAAGTATCACATGCAGCCATTATTTATAACCGTAGATGAAATTTTATTCAACCTTTAACTCTTACACCAAACAAACCCTCCACTTCTAGCCAGAGGAACCTTCACCATCACCAAAATGCTCAACTATATAAAACCACTGCCCAATAATCTGGGAAAAGCTACACAACTGCTACTTTGCCGTTGTCCACTTTACCTAGGACAAATTGCCAATTGTATAAAGCTTCTCAAAACTTCAATCCAAGCCTTTCCCATTAGTCCGCAAAAATGTCAACCAAAATCCTTTCAGGCTACTTTCTGGTTGCTTGCAACAAAACCATTTCAGCAAAATCTCTCATTTTTGTCCTTAACTAGATATCCTGAAACTCCCATTAATTGCTAGCATTTATCGAAAGAAAAACTTAATTACTAGTATGATTGACAAGGACAAGTGGATAGAAAATGGAATAAAAGCATCCAGCACAGTTAAAAAATCTGATAATACAATAGTCACCAGAAGTTAAATTCCAGGCTTTGTCCAACTTTATCTATTTCTCTCTATTCATTAAGGCTTGTTTTATCATTTCTTCTCTCTACTGGAACACAAGAAAGCAATGGGCCCAGCTATCCAAACTAAAGACGGTCTTTCCTCAATTTTAACAATGAATAAAGATTAAATTTTAACATAAAAGGCCCAATGCAAAACGCACTAAAATGCCAATCAGAATCGCAGCCATCTTCAGAATAGAGTTATTGAAGGAAGAAGACAAGCACAAGAAGGCGAAGAATGGATTGGTAGTTTCGGTTAGTGACTTACCTTCACAGTCCCCAAAGGGAAAGTAAGTTCAACAGACTCTCTACTCTCTCGGAGTCTCGGGTTCTCTCTCGATTTCACTCTTTGTATCGAAGTCTCTTTCTCTCGATCATGTGTGATGAGAGAATCGAGTATAGAATCTATCTTTAGATATTTGTACTATTAAAATTAAGTCCAACATTTTTGTTATTTTATGTTATGACTGCGTCCCCTTTTTTTTAAATCACAAATTGATCATCGAAATATCCCTTTATGTATCAAACATGCCCCCAATGTGTCTTGGATGGTTCCATAACATGTTCAACACCCAAAAAATTGGGATACTCTTTTTTGGAGTGTCCCACACGTGTCTGAACATGTCCATGGCATGTCAGACACCACTACATTAGCCAGAATAGAGTGTATGTGGTTCTTAGCACAAGATGGATATTCAGAAGGTAGACCGATGCAATGTTCCTCGAGTTTTCCAACCTGTGCACCAAATTTTATAAACTACTCACATGATTAAGCCCAATGTGTCAAAACCTAAATATAACAAATGTGACATGCTTTACACATTCAGAGCCACACAAATAGTACCGAGGATAGAGCTCACTCCCAAATTTGGATATATGGACTATAATATTATTCAATTTACCATAAAGGCATCCATGATTCTAAAATTAGTTAAAGACAGACCACTATAACATTAAAAACATGGAGTAAAAGCAAGTAAAATATTCACTTCACCCTACAAGTCAAAAGAATCCAATGATAAGAGGCTACAATCAAGCAAACCACAAGAGCTAAATATTCGTCAATCAATCAATACAACCATAAAAGACATCACATGTGAAATTTCAGGAAGGCAATAAATATATAACATGCAAGCGCTGCCTTATCGCACACTTCCAATAAGACAGCAGAGAGAAAACAAACCTTGAAGCAACACGAACATTGTACTCTTGCCCAGGATGGTAGAACTCTGCAAGGCCCCAATCTATAAGACGAAGCTTACGCTGCTCGTGATCAATCATCACATTATGGGGCTTCACATCTCGATGCATAATACCTTGAGAGTGGCAGTAGTCTAATGCCTACAAATAAAAGTATGTAATCTTGACGATTCCACCATCTCAAAAATCATATTTAAACAAATAGTTAAGATATGCATGTTTACAAATAAAAATTAGGTCCAACACAACTATACAACTTCAAATTGCAGTTGTTAAATTGTGAATCGAAATTCCAACTTTCCAAATGACATAGATACTAAACGGCAAGTATATGGTCATATGGTGATGCAAAACTTAATGCCATAATGTGGTCTGATAGACAAACACTATGCTACAAGTCCTTGCTATTTCAAACAATGTTGATTTCAGTTTCCTCTTGCATTGCATTACCCTTGATATGTCACTCTTCCTCACTATGCATTATCAGCCATTGTTACACATGGCCAAAACATCATAGTAAATTTTCTTTCATTTTCCTAACCTCTGCTAATTTAACTTTTATCATCTTTTCAAAATATTTTGTTATTAATGATAGTAGTGTAGTTGTGATGCTGTGATGGAAGTCTTGCAAGACTTTTGTAATATGTCTAGTTAGAAAGTTAATTTTCACAAATTTAAAATGTTTGTGCCCCTAATGTCCCTAGTATAGCCCTGGTCCAAGCTTTAAATGTAAATTCCGCCCTCACTAACAATCTTGGTAATTATCTTGTGTTCCTTTGTTTTTTTCCAGAGTAATCAAAGTCAACTTCAGTCATTATCGGGAGAAGTAAAAAACGAACAGAAAAGAAAAAAAGGCTGGCTGAAAAACCAAGTTATTGTCCCTAAATGGTAGAGCTACTCTTCTCCAAATGAGAACTACTACTGCCCCTAACTATACTATACAAACATCAGTCTTGCCTGCTTGTAACTATGATTAAATTGACAAAATGAATAGAAAATTTATTTGAGCGAATTGCTTTGATAAAAAGGAAGTCCACCTTATTAACTGGGACAGTGTGTACTGCATTAAAGAAAAGGGTTGGCCATGACCTGAGGAAAGCAAAGGACAAAAACTTATCTATTCTTGGGTTAGAAAGCCCTTCAAGAGTAAGACACATTGTGGACTTGCCTAGTACCTGGTGAGCCTCCAATTACCTGAAGGAGTAGTATTAAAGACAGAAATGTTGTCCATAAGGGCACCCAAGTAGGTCATTGGTAATGAGAGCAAATCTTCCTTTTGGAATGATTAGTGGTGTGGTAATGGTTCTATGTCTTCCACTAATAATCCTCCAACCACTAATCACAACAAAGTCGAAGGTTTCTTTAATGAAAATGCCAAAATGGTAACTGGAACCTTTCCAAAACTGACCACATGCTGTCTTTGATGTGAAAACCAGATTTATAAAACCCAAGTGCCTACATAAACTTTACTAATACCCCTATTTAGAGACCTTAAACCAGAGGTAAACTTCACTTCTAAGTCCCCTTATGAACTGATTAGTAATGACCAGAGAAGAGACAGCAATGAGAAGATTGGCTGGACCTGGAAACTTAAAGTCCCCCAAAGACTTAAATGTTTCCTGTGGCTGGCTGTACAAGACAGGTTGTAACTAATAATCTTAGAAATAAAAGGGCTTTGGGTGAGTCTCCTGAGCGTAAGAGACACAATCAAGTTATATAAGACACCATTCACATTCTGAGAGATTGTCCCTCCTACTCTTGAACTCCCAAGAATGCTGAAACAGTAAACAGTGTCATCAGTGGATCACATATATCAACAGGAAAAGCAAGAAACCTGATATAGATGGCATTCATTGGTCCACTGTTTTTATTTCCACTCTTTGGCACTTATGGAAGAAGAGAAAGTGTTTGAAAATGTTATAAGTTCCAGTAAAGACTATGAGCATAATTCTTTTCTTTGCTAAGGAGATTAAAGATGCTTTCAATGATGGCAGCCTTCTTGTTGGGTTGAAACCTCCTATACTGATAAGGTGGTTGTTTCCTCCAGCAGGTTGCTTTAAAATAAATGCTGATGGCAGTGCAAAAGGCAACTCTGAAGCTGCAAGGTTTGAAGGGATGATTAGGAATGATCAAGGTAGATGGCTCCTAGGTTATCTGGAAGCAATGTCAAGGCACCTAGTCTGAAATCTGAACTTCAGAGTACCTTCAAAGGACTGACATCAATAAAAAGATGAAGCTCAAAGGAGTTCTTTGAATCAGATTCGGCCACCGCAGTTTCTCTAATCCAAGCCAAGTCTGTAATCAGAAATCCTTTCAGAGAATCAGAGCCCTCATTGAAAATTGCAGATTTTTTCCAAATCTTGCAGAATCAACCACATCTTTAGAAAAAATTAACTACTGTGCTGATTTCTTGGCAAACAAAGGAGTGCAGTCCAACACAAACTTGGAGAGCTTGAACACATCCCTCCAAGGGGATAATCGCCCCACTGCAGGCTGACTTATTTAGTGTTCCCTTTATCAGGTCAGCCTAATACGGGTTTTTTTTTTCATTTGAACCCAAAATTTATTTCAAAAAAAGGGAAAACAATAACGAGGAACTCTTCTTTAAATGGTTTTTAATAACAGTAAGATCTTGTAAGATATTGTGAAAATTCACCATTTTTAGCTTAACAATTTGCAGCAAATTGCAAAATGAAGAAATTTACACTGCTGAAACACATGCATACATATCACCCCATTCCCCTCAAAATAATAATAATAATAATAATTTTAAAAAAAGAAAGAAAGAAGGGAACAGCATTAAAACGGAAAGAAAAAAAAAAGGAAACCTTCTTAAAATGATCTACAAGAACATATAACAGTTATGACTCACAAAATACATATGAAGATATGAGAAGAAGTAGTGATTACAGAAGTGCAGTTGCATAATAAACCATAATCAAATTCTCATCACTAGAAGAAACAAAGATCATGGGAATCTTACCTTTAGAAGCTCATAGATGTAATATCGAATATCAAAGTCAGAAAGTGTGGGATATAGCACTTTGAAATCTGTATTATTGACATATTCAAATATTAGACTTGGGGTCTTTGATTGCTGATCTCTAACAATATCAAGCAATTTTATAATGTTTGGCCCGAATAATAATAATAATAATAATTTTAAAAATAAAAAAAAAAAGAAAGAAAGAAGGGAACAGCATTAAAACGGAAAGAAAAAAAAAAAGGAAACCATCTTAAAATGATCTACAAGAACATATAACAGTTATGACTCACAAAATACATATGACGATATGAGAAGAAGTAGTGATTACAGAAGTGCAGTTGCATAATAAACCATAATCAAATTCTCATCACTAGAAGAAACAAAGATCATGGGAATCTTACCTTTAGAAGCTCATAGATGTAATATCGAATATCAAAGTCAGAAAGTGTGGGATATAGCACTTTGAAATCTGTATTATTGACATATTCAAATATTAGACTTGGGGTCTTTGATTGCTGATCTCTAACAATATCAAGCAATTTTATAATGTTTGGCCCGCCACAAATGTTCTGCAGAATTTTAATTTCCCTCTTGATCTGCATTTGACAGAAAAAAACTAAAAGTAAGTCTGCACAAAATCTGATACCACAGTATATATTATTTAGTAACAAATTAAAACTTCATAAGAATAAAAAGAACGATAACCGAAAGGATGGGCGAGGTTCAAACTGAATGGACCAACACGAGCTCAACAAATTGAGCATCAATCAATCCTAATAATTATTAGCCATGGATAAGAACACCGAAAATGCCCTGTGAACCTAATAAAATTTTATGCTCTTTGCATAAGCTGTAATTGAAACTGCAAAATTAACCAAAAATCTCTGTAAATTCTGGAACTTGATAATCATAACAACAAAGAAAATAAAAAAAGATACATTCTGAAGCAATGAAGTAAACCCTGAGGAGGCTGCGATTCAAGCTGAATGGACCAACATGCAAGCTCAACAAGCTGAGCATCAATCAATCTACTATTTGTTACCCAGATATAAGAACCCCAAAAATGGTCCCTAAACCTAATAAATTTTATGCTCTTTGCATAAGCTGTAATGAAACCAATGGTCGGCAATTCTTTTAACCTTGTACTGGACGAATGAATCCAAGTTAAACGTCAATCATCTGTTAATCACTCCTCTTTTTTGGCTTGGGCCATCCTTTTCCCTGTTGTCTGTTGGTTTATTTGGATAGCTAGGAACTCTGCTATATCCTCTCCTCCCAAGACTTTTAACCCTCGTTGGTTTGTGCTTTAGCAGTTGAATGGCAGTTTACAACCAACTTCAGTGGGAATAAAAGGATCAGATATTGCACTTATGTTGGTTGGAAACCTCCCAAGTAGAGGTGCTTTAAACTCAACACAGACAGTGCTGCAAAAGGTAAATCTGGTATTGCGAGTGGTGGGGGCATCATCAGAGACAGCTTAGGTAGATGGGTTGCAGGCTTTTGTCAAAAAATTGGAATAACAACCAGCTTAGTTGCACAGTTGCGGGCCATGAGAAATGGCCTTCAATTAGCTATTTTGGATCTCCAATTTTGAAGTGAAAACTGATGCAAAGTTGGTGAAACAACTGCTTATGGATCATCCTAGACACTCTAGCTAACCCAAAAGATGATACATTTAATGGATTGCAAATTTTTCACTATAGTCCTTATTGTATAGGAATCTCAACAATTAGCTATACCTACCAAGAAGCATATGTGTGCGGACACTATAACTAACCTAAAAGATATACATTTGATGGATTGCAAATTTTTCACTATTGTCATTTTGTCTAGGAAATCAATTGTATGATGAGGATGCAAGAGCGGTGGTAACCAAAAAATAAAAAATAAAACTGCAAAATTAACTGAGAATTACTGTAAATTGTGGAAATTGATAATCATAACAACAAATAAAAATAAATAAAAATTACATTTTGGCACAATGAAGTAAACCCTAAGGAGGCTGCAATTGAAACATAAGGGTCGAAAAGACAATGGCCTGACTCACCTTCTTCTTCTTAACAGGTTTAAGGATCTTGATAATACATTTCTCGTTATTGGTGCAGTGAATGCCCTCGAAAACCTCACTGTATTTCCCTCTCCCAACCTTCCTTACAACCTCATAATCGTCCTGTTCCCTACATTGCCAATCAATGCACAACTCAATTCAATCAAATACACAATATTTTCAACAATATATATACATGTACACGCGTGTGTTTGTATATGTATAGTTACCCCCATTGAACGGTGAGGGCTTCGTAATCCCAGTACTCCTTGGGACGGATCACATTGACGTCGGTGTAAACCCTAGCCTTGGAGGGGGCGCCGGGGCGGCGGATGGATTTCCCGATCTTCTGCGCCAGGGTTTCCGACAGCAAAAAATACGGCCTAAGGCGGTGCGACGGTGGTGGTGGTGGTGGCGGTGGCGGTGGCGGCGACGGCGACGGAGGTTGTTTTTGTTTCTGTTTTCGACGGTGGGGTGGTTGAGGAAGGGACAGAGGAGAACGAGAAGAGAGAGAACGAAGGAGGATAGAGGGAGGTGGAGGTGGTGGTGAGGATGGGGGAGAGAGAAGAGAAGAGGGGAAGAGGGAGGAGAAAGAAGAGAAGAGCCGATTGGGATTGGAGATGATGAATTGCAGAGGCCTTATGGCCATCAAACGAGGCTAATCAATACAGAATTTACCAGAATCGACCACATCGCTCTTTCCATCTTTCCCACGTACCCCTCTTTTGGCCTTTCTCTTTTTTTTAACTGTTTTTTATTAGGATAAATAAATAAATTACAATACTGTACCGATAATTGTAATAAATATAACTGGTCCCACTATTTTGACAAAAATACATTTACAGCCCCTCCATTAACCAGGGCAAAAACCAAGCAACAAAAGTGATAAAATTAATTTTATTACCCTATAGGCTCTCCGTCTCTTCATTTTCTTTCACTTCTTTCTTTTTCCTCTTTTCTTTTTCATTTACTAGCATATCATCCGTGCTATACACGGATTATATTTACAATTATCTATATATATGAATTGTGACTTTTTAATGCCCTTTTTTTTTTTAAATGCCTTCTTTTTTTCCTTTTTTATATTATATTAAAGTTTAATATTTTGATAATAATCATATGTGTTAAACTTTTCAAGGAATTAAATGTCTTTTTTTATTATATTATATTAAAATTTAATATTTTGATAATAATCATATGTGTTGGACTTTTCAAGAAAATTTTTTTATGCTTGTTCTTAATGCATTAAAATGTTATTATGAGGAATAATAATCATATGTGTTGAGACTTTTCAAGGAATTCATGTGTTGGATTTCAAAGAATTTTTTTTTTTATGTTTGTTCTTAATGCATTAAAGTGTTATTATGAGGGTAAGATTTGGTGGTTAGGAGAAGTTAATAAATGCTAAAGTTTTTTTTTTTTTTAAATCAAAAAATCAGGAAATTTAGATTGGGAGATTGGACCTCCTACAAAGCTTGGAGTTAAAAACCCCATTTTGCTTAATATATAGTATAGATATCGAAAACTACATTTGTTTTGTTCTCATTGTATTTTTATTTATTTCTATCAAAATTATCTTCAATGAGACGTGAGTTGTCACAGGTTTTTTTATTTGAATTGCTCAATAATCATAGTGTGAATGTCATTGTTTTTGCTAATCAAAAGTGCAACACCAATATCGGCTAGTATTGTTCAACAATTGACGGAACTACTTTGTTTTTTTTTTTTTTTTTTTTGAAAGAAGTCAAAGTTGAATGGTGTGTCTTTTTTCTTCTCATGTCATATGAACATCGAGAGCTTTCATCATGCAACATGATAATAGTGAAGTAGATCTTCGAACTCTATTAATTTACAGGTGTGTTTTCACTTTATTATTATTCAAAAACATATGGTTGCTAAGATTTATTTGTTAGTTGAATAAATAATTTGTATGGCCATTAAAGTTTATATATGATAGATAAACTCATGTAACTATGCCATCTTATCTTTCTTCTTTGTGTCTCTTATACCACTTCCTTCCCTCGCAACATCACCATTCTCACTCTCTTATCTTTGTCTTAATTACGCCTTAATTACTATCACTCAACCACCATCTCCTAACCTCATTAACTACTATTTCAACGAGTCCAGATCCTCTCCAGCCAAACCCTTCAGTCATTCCTCCTGTCAAAGGCCAAGATTTGGCTATGTCAACAGGGCTAGAGAGGACGGCTCAGATCAAGTGTGATTAAAAAAAAAAAATTGAATTTATTTCCATTCAACACAGCCACAGAGCTTCATTCCGATTCACTTTTTCCCTCCCTCTTCAGCTCCGGTGAACGGCGACGCCATCTCGTGACACAGACGGCGAGGAATCCAAGTCAACGACGAACATCAGTGGTCTCTCCATCTCTTCCTCTGTCTTACTTTGAAGATTTGAGCTGCGATTTAAGCTGCGAACCATAGTTAAAGGTAAAATGTTTTTTCTCGTTGTTTCCCCCAAATAATCTGTTGGTCAACTCCATCTTGTCAATTTCCTATCGTTCACCAGATTTTACTAACTGGTTCTCTTTGTTCTTTGTTCTATTGGCCAACTCAATCATTTTAGGTTGAAATGTTTAGTGAAATGGAAAAAATCTAAGATGAAGGAAATCTTTTGGGTGTTTTGCACTTATGGAGTCTATGAATGACAAAAAAATCTATACATGTTTATATTTCTCAAGAAACAGGCTATACATGTTCATTTTGCTATTTTGCAGATTATGAATAACAAGAAAAACTTTTTGATGTTCTTTGGGGGTTACAAAAAAAAATGTGAGATAATCTGTATGGAACTTTCTATGTTTCGCATGGCATTTAGAATAGAATTATTTATGTATTTTTTTTAGCATTGTTGTTCAAAAAAATAGTCTTAGTTTGCTGGTATACCAAGATTTCTATGTCAAACTATTCTATCTGTCAAGTTAGTCTTCAATTTTGGATTCTATAATAGTAGTTAACTTGTGAGTTGTATAGTTTTGCTGAGCTTCTTTGCATTGCATTGACAACTTTCTCATGGTTTGCTACAAAATTAATTGATCACATTGCTTCTCTAAACAAGTTTTCTGAAAAGGTAAATGATTTGTAGTAATGAAAGTGAAATTAATTCATCACATGCTTGAGTGTGTTTGCTGCCTAGTTGATTTTGTTTGAAGGTTTTTTTCAATTACTGGGATTAAAATGGTTGTTTATCTAAGAGCCACTGGTGATGCCCCAATTCTAAAGCAAGCCAAGTTCAAGGCATGTCTTCTTTGATTTCTTTGTTATTTTTTTTTTTTTAATATCATTTTGATTGATTACTTAATTTGTGATTGTATGAATCTAATTTAAATATTCTCTCATTGTATTGCTGATCTAAAAACTATACTTGAAACCTAGTTCACATACAAATATGAATTTATGTCCTAACATCAATGATCCAGTATTATGATTCAAAATTAGGCCAAGTGAGAGATTGGGAATTCATTAGGTTAATGGGGTTTTCTCTGTTTTTGTGGAGTTTGCAGTTGGGTTTTTTTTTTTATTATATGTTATTAAGTTTAAATAAATGTGTATATTGTGCATTGAATATTATTAGAGTTTTTAACGGTGTTTGTATTGTATATAATATCAGAATGTTATGAATTATTTTGAGTGCATTGCCTTGTCTGCCTTGTATCCTATTTTACTTGTGCCTTTGTTTTAACAGATTATTTCATGAGACAAATATTACTCTTTCTGATTAGTGTCTAAACTAAAGATAAGCCAAATTGTAAACAAATTTTTCTGAGAGATGTCTTGATGTGCTTTGCTATTTGATATTTTTTTTGTAGGTCAATGTCAATGTCAATGTCAATGTCAAGCACAAATGCAAGTATAGGTAGCATTAATGAAGTTAGATTCGACAACCGCAATTGTCGATGTGGCAACAAAGCTATGGTCAAGATTTTTCAGTCAACGGATATTCCAAATTGCTTATATTTTGTATGCCTCTATTCACCGAGTGGTTGTAAGTTCTTTGAGTGGTGGAACCCTCCACATATGCAGCATAATTTGAAGGTGGTCAAGAATGATATTCTTGAAGAACGCATGGAAGTCTTGTCCACTCTTAGAGAAGTAATTATCTTGAATAGAGAGCTCAAAGACATTGACTATGAAGAGTAGAAAACAATATAGAGATTTGGCAATGGTGATTGAAAGAGTTGGTGAAAAATTGAATTACGGCTTTACTTTTTTTGTTCTGTTGTTGGTGGTAGCTGTCATTCTAGTGTATTTGTAATAGTGTATGTAATGTAGGGTAGAATGAGTATGACTTGTATTGTAGGTTGAATGTGTATGTAATGTATGGTGGACCACTATCATTTTGTTGAAGTGGTAATGAATGTAATGGCTTTTTTTGTTTGATGAAGTGGTAATGATTTATTTGTTTAAGAGTTTAATGTAATGGCTTGTGACCTTGCCTCAAATAAGAAGAATTGCACTGCACACTGAATGATTTAATTGTTCAAGGGTTGTGCAAAGTGACCTGCTTGTGACCTTGTAATTCCAAACAAAACAAAAACAAACCCTTATAATTCCAATAAGATGACAGCAAAAAACAAATTTCAGAAAAGTGTGTGCATATCAAGTTATTCAATCCATTTATTTTTCTTAATTCCACTCATATAGATATTTGCACATATAGTGTAGATATGTAAAACTTTATTGTTTTTTGAGTATTTTTCAAAACCATGCAACAACAATGTTAAATACTTCAAAACGTGTGATGCTGCCATGTTAAATACTTCAAAAAGTGTGATACAACATCAATGTTAAATAGCATGCAACTAAATTGAACTCCAAAGAACTAGGCTTCAACCCAATTAACTTCACATTCTGCTAGTTAAAATTCATTCATAATAGTCATAGACAAAAAAGATAGATCAGTTTCACCATTCTTCAAATCTCATCTCAATTAATTCTAACTATAGCAAACAACAAACTTTTCTATTGTTGTGAAGCTTCACTACAAAAATATAATAGATGCATTATGAGCCAGTAGGACAATTCTGTGTTGTTGTTGTACATCAGAGGCATAATAGATGTTATGTTGCTGTTGTGAAGCTTCACTACAAAAACATAATAGATGCATAATAAATGGTGTGTTGCTATTGTACATCAAAGGCATCTCCTATGCATGAAATTTGAAGCGCCTTTCACCTCTTCGTGGCCATCCAAACCCTGAAAAAAGTAAATAAATAAATAAATTTGAAAAACAATAAAAATTCAGCACCAAAATAGTATTTTAGCAGCACAAATTCAACACCAAAACAACATTTCAGCAGCACAAAATTAGCACCAAAACTGTATTTCAGCAGCACAACATAATAGTATTTCAGCACAAAAAATAACCAAAATACAACAACTCAATAGCACAAATTTAGCACCAAAAACAGCATTTCAGTAGCACAAATTCAGCACCAAAACAGCATTTCAGCGCACAAATTCAGCACCAAAACAATATTTTAGCAGCACAAAATTATTGCAGCAACAAGCAACATTAACTTCAGCACAAAATTCAGCAAAAACAATACCAAATCAGCAACAAAAGTACCTCAGTACACAGCAGCTAGTTATTTGTTGGTCAAGAACTTGTATTTGAGCCTTCAGAATCTTGAAACCTAATGTCATACCTACCTTGAAGTAGTGTCATATATGTTGGTTGAGCACAGTATGCCAAATTGTTTACCTACAATT